GGGAAAATTGGGGGGGAATTGGCGGGCTCGGCGACTGGGAGGCACTCAGGCCTTGCTGCCGGTGCCCAGGGGGGGGATCAGTGGGCCGAGGGGGGGGAGAAGGCTTACCTGCGGAGCTGCTTCTGCAGACCAGGAGCCTTTAGGAATACTCCCCCCATGTGAGTATCACGGGTCCCGCTTCTTGTTACTTCTGATTTGCAGTGGAAGTGACAATGGAGCGTCAGCATATTTACAGTTGCCAGCTCCAGGTTGGGAAATACTTGGAGATTTTAGGGTGGAGCCTGAGGAGGGTGGGGTTTGGGGAGGGGAGGGTCTTCAATGCCATACAGTCCACCTTCCAAAGCAAGCATTTTCTCCAGGTGGTCTCTGTTACCTGGAGATCAGTTGTTGTAAGAGCTGGAGATCTCCAGACACCACCTGGAGGTTGGCAGCCCTACATGTGATGCCGATCAGGTAGGTCCCTCCCACCAGTGTTCCCTCTAAGCTGAGTTAGTGTGAGCTAGCTCACAGTTTTTTTAGCCTCCAGCTCACACACATTTTTGTCTTGGCTCAGGACGGATGGCTCCAGGGAAAACTAATTTATGCAGGGGCCAAATCGCTCGCTCACAACTTTAATGCCAGTAGCTCACAAAGTAGAATTTTTGCTCGCAAGACTCCACAGCTTAGAGGGAACATTGGTCCCCACCCCTGCAATCTCCCACCAGGTGCCAGAACTGGGCTGGCAACCCTATCTTAGCACCTCCCCTGAGCCTTTTAAAGCACCCCCTGTCTATGCCCAGGGAAGACTCCATTGACATGGCTCCTTCATCGGGTCTGTGCTTACATCTGGCATCCCAGCAGCAGTAGGGACACACCGGCAGTCTGTCACGCTGGCGATCCCTGAGACAGTCTATTTAGAAATGCCGATATTGTACAACAACTGCATTTTTTTCCTCCAAATATAACCAAAAGAACACATACCCTCTTGGCATTTCAATCAAGGAAGAATAAACCAACACAGCATCCCGCAGATGGAGCACAGCCTTTGGCAACGTAGTACCAGAATGTGTTTGAAGTTTCGGGCAGTGATTCTTGGGAAGAGAACTGGGTGGTTTCAAGCACACCCTTGTTTTCAAATGTGAAATTTTGGAGGGGATGGATTTGCGGCACCTGCCTTGTCTCCCAGGAGGCTGCTGGCAGAGGTCAGTAATCCTGCCCTCTCTGTCTGCATCAGTTGCAGTTAAATTGAGCAACTGCTCCCAATGCGATAAAATTTCTTGCGTTCAGGGGAGGCCCACTGAGATTTGTGCATAAACTGAAGCATGGACCCTTTGGCAAACAAGAAATTTATATGCACTCCATTCTTTTCATGGGGAAGAATGCAGTGTGCCTCCAATTTTAATTTAAAGGGGAGGGCCCATGGCTCAGGGGTACAGCATATGCTTGGCATATCTGGGAAACGTTGCGCACCCGTCCCCGATCCGGCCCTTCCGGCCGAAAACCCGCATCTAAACTAAACCACCTCCTGAGGAGGTCTTACCTGAATGGCCGCAGCTGTGGGATCGCCGGCGCATCCTTCTGCTGGCGCATCCCCGGCTCCTGGCCGAACTGCGCATGCACACACATGCGCAGCCGGCTGCCTCGGTCTCCCGACCGTGGCTTCCTCCCCGACATCTGATCGTGCCAGGGAGCAACGGCGCCGTGGCTCATGGGATCCGTGGGATCCCGCCGCGGCGTATCTATTTTGGTGCGGCTTTAAAAAGCCACATTTTGCTGGTGTTTTTCCCCCCTGTGTGGCAGGGGCCTAAGTTTCTCACAGGGAAGAAAGGAAATCAAAACGAGGTGTTTGACCCAATTGAGGCAGCTTTCAAAACTGGCCCTCATCCCTGTCTAGAAGATCTCCTGGTGCCTCCTCACAGCTCCTAGTCTAAGAGGCAACATCTGTTGGGATGGAACAGTCAAAGAACAGCTGATATGCACTTCCCGTTGTATAGGAACTGCCAACTGTATCTGGACTCACTGCATCCATCCTCCAGCAATGCAATGAGAGCCAGTTTGGTGTAGTGGTTGAGAGCAGTGGACTCTGATCTGGAGACCCAGGTTTGATTTCCCACTCCTCCACATGCAGCCAGCTGGGTGACCTTGGGTCAGTCACAGCTCTCACTCAGCCCCACCCACCACACAGGGTGTCTGTTGTGGGGAGAGGAAGGGAAGGTGATTGTAAGACGCTCTGAGACTCCTTTGGGTACTGAAAAGCGGGTATAAAAACCAACTCTTCTCCTTCTCCTCCTCCACCACCACCACCACCAAATTTCAGTCCAGGTTAAAAGAAGAATCAGGATTTGGCAATAAAATTTGCCCGTCGCTTCACACTGTAGAAAAAAACATAATAGACAGAGAGGTCCCATATTTCAATGTAACATTTCCTTGCTGTGTTTAAATTGCATGTACTGTGTGCAGGGCTATTTTTGGGCAGGAACGCACAGGAACGGAGTTCCGGCTGGCTCCCAAGTTGGCCACGCCCAGCAGGAACTCATTAGCATAATAGGCCACACCCAACAGCAGGAACTCATTAGGATTGGCTGCATTAGGGGTGTGTGGCCTAACATGCAAAGGAGTTCCTGCTACAAAAAAAGTCCTGGGTTTTGACAACAAACAAGGTAAGCAGAATAACAAGCAAAAGGTGGGTGTGGCTGGATGAGCACACTTCTGGTAACATGGGGTGTGTCCTAATGCGCTAATGAGCTTTGCTGGCAGGGGTGTGGCCTAATATGCTAATGAGTTTCTGCTATTGGGTGTGGCCTATTATGCTAATGAGTTCCTGCTGGGCTTTTTCTACAAAAAGAGCCCTGATCTGTGTGAATGTACAGGCCAGTTCCCAGAGGTCCGTTCCTCCGATGACGGCTCCTTCCCCCGAAGCAAGGAGACGCCATTCAGGAGAATGGATCTAGAAGATCAATCTTATCAATCTGCGTGCAGTGGTATTCCCAAACAAGAGCAGCTCACAACTCAGGAGACATTTCATTGCTTTGTGTGCTGCTGGCATCTGTTTATCATGGATTACTCGTCTCTATTGATTGTGTTCGACTGGGCTCTGTAGAAGCTGCTTCGGAAGACATATGGCCAGGACTTTGTGAGATATAAGAAATTTTCAGTAAGTTCTGCAGCTGTATTTATGAAACAGATCAGCACATGGCAAAGCACGGGTGTCTCCAAAAACAGAAAGGCTGGGTCATTTCTCATGTAGAATCACAGAATCAGAAAGTTGGAAGGGACCTCCAGGGTCATCAACTCCAACTCCCTGCACAATGCAGGAAATTCACAAACACCTCCCCCCACACCCCCACTGACCCCTGCTCCACGCCCAGAAGAGGGCAAAAAAAACCCAAAACCCACCCTCCAGGTTCCCTGGCCAAACTGGCCTGGAGAACATTTGCTTCCTGACCCCAAAGTGGCGACAGGCATTTCCCTGGGCGTGTAAGAAAGGGCCACAAGAACTAAGCACTGAGGCAACCCTTCCTGCCCTCCCTTCTCACGATCTGCCTAAGTTCACAGGATCAGCATTGCTGTCAGATGGCCATCTAGCCTCTGTTTGAAAACTTGAGCCAAGAGCAGGAACAAAAGCGATCCTAAACAGACTGTGGATCTGTCTCTTTTGGTGGAATCTGAAAAGGATTGAGGATAACTTCAGATTGCTCATGCCTGTCGCTGTGACCCGAAAATCTCCGCTTTGATTTTGCTTTGCCCCTCAGTCAAACTGAAGCCAAGATTATTAATTCTTGTTTCCTCTTTCTGAACTCTCCTTGACAAATGGACCTGGGGATCCCCTGGAATTATGGCTCATCTCCAGGCTACAGAGATCAGTTCCCCTGGAGAAAATTTGGAGGGTGGACTCTTTGGCACTGTACTGAGGTCTCTGTCCTCTCCAGGCTCCACCCCCCCAAATCTCCAGGAGTTTCCCAACTTGGATATGGCAACCCTAACCCTCCAGTCCCCACTGGCAGCTGCGGGGAACCTGGCAACGCTACTGCCAAAAAAACCCCAGCATTATATTATCATTATTTGTATAAATGTCGTACACGGTACGTAAAAATTGTTTATAAGAACCACGCAAAGTGCAGGTACAATATAGATGCAACTACAGAGAGAACCTAAAGAGAACCTAAAATGTTGAAAAGAATATATAAAAAATGGAACAGGTAACAGTCGCTCAACTCTGGAAGAAATTAAACGCGACCAAAAGCTTTTATTAACTGAAATTTCCCCAAGGAAGAGAATCAATGTAGTGATCAGCTATTCGTCTATCCTCTGGGTTTCTGTCTTTCATGTCATTTTGCAGGGCAGGAAGAAGAAGAAGGAGGAGGAGGAGATTAGATTTATACCCTCCCCCTTCACTCGGAGTCTCAGAGCAGCTTACAAATTCCTTTCCCCTCCCCACAACAGACACCCTGTGCGGTAGGCGGGGCTGAGAGAGCTCTGTCGAGGACTGCTCTTTTTTAAGGACAGCTCTGACAGAACTATGGCTTGCCCAAGGTCATCCAGCAGCTGCGAGTGGAGGAGTGGGGAATCAAGCCTAGTTCTCCCAGATTAGAGTCCGTGCACTTAACCACTACACCAAACCTCCCCTCCTTTATGCTGTCTTTTTCCAGAAGCACTTTATTTAGAGTTAGATACGCTATCACTTTGCAAATAGTTTCGCATGGGTATATACACATAAGATAAAGAAATTTGGCAGCAAGAATAGCGAAATTCTCTTAACATGCATGTATCCTGCAGCTTGGTGATTTGGCAGATCAAGAAGGGGGACTGGCTGGAGGGATTCTCCCCCCCCCCACTGGTCCCCACTTCTTACTAGCTCTGCTTTCCATCTAGATCTGCTTCCCAACCTCTTAATTTTCCCTCTCCTTGAATGCAAGTTGGAGGGGAGATCCCATTTCTCATCTCCCTGCTCTCCCTGCTATTCCACCTCCTGCCCAGGGGTCATTTCGTAGAAAAAAAGGTGCAGGAGCTTATTAGCATAAATCATTAGCATAACTTATTTGCATATGCGACACACCCCTGACATCACCAGAAGTGTGTCAGAAGGCAACACCCACCGCTCAGACTCCACTGGACTGTTTTGGACCAGGGGGCCAGGGGGAGCTCTGCAACTTACCTGACTGCTTCTTGCTCTGACTGAGGGCTGGTGGGAGCAAGGGGTGGGGCTTGTTGCAAGTGCCTGCCCCCTGGGCTCTTTACTGCCAGAGCTCCGCTCCTGTGCACTCCTGCAGGAAAGGACCCCTGCTCCTGCCCCTCTTCCCGACAATATAAAGTCCTCTGGCTCTTGTACAGTGTTGCAGGGAACCTCCTGAAGGGCTTTGTGCCTTCTCCCAAGCATCAAGAGCCAGGTGACTTTCCCAGAGCTTGGGAGAGACCATTAAAGCTTTCTGCAGATTCTCTGCCACACTTCCTTGCAGTCAGGAAGCCTTGGCACTGTTAATCTTGGGTTGTCAAGGCAACTACAAAATGGTACCCGAGATCTCTCAAGGTCTTCTCAAAGAACTTTTGTTTGTCTGTTTTTTGTGAAGTCTGCCACAGCACAGACATCACAGTTAATTTTTAAAGGAAATTCTCTCCCCACCCCCTTATTTTTTTTAACTTTTATCTTTCTGCAAACCTGGGAGTTCCGGAATGCTGCAGGGTTCTGGAATGTTTTGCAGAAGCATCTGTCGTATCCCTCGGTAGCCCTGTTGTGTTGAGTTTTTGATTCACGCATAGGGGACACGCCTGGCTACTAGATATCTAGAATAACTTTTAAAATGTTTGCTATTTCCGCATAATTTATTCTGGTCTTTCTACTCATGGGGAGGGGGAAGGAGAGCACCAAAGACACATCCCACAACTACTGGGAATATTCAGGCACCCTTCTGGCATTGGAAGTTACAGCAATCATCACTCATGAACTTTCATGCCCGCTTTTGCACTCAGAGTGGCTAGAAACCTGTTTTTTTAAAAATTTAGAATGAAAATGGACATTCCTTGATACCACATTCTCTACTTTTGGGCCCTCGATATGGGCATCAGCAGGCACAGTGAGAAATCCATCAATCATGTCTCCATCACTGGCTCCCCCATCTGCTTATAATTTATTCCTGCCTCTGTATTCTCCCCCCCCCCATGCTGCCATAATTCCCCTTTTGCTCTGAGCTGCCGGTTATTCCCAGGTGATCATTCCGAGGAGGAGCACAATTGCTGCTCTCCTTGTCAGATGCAGACGCTTATCTTCTAAAGGAATGAGCATTAGAAAAAGAGAAAGAATCCCTGGCAGTGATGCAGCCGCTAGAGAAAAATGGTTCGCAGAACATGATTAGCAGCGTTTAACAGCCATTTATAAGCTGACAAGCCGGTCACAAACGCTGAGTAAATAATCATCACGTTGGAGTTGGTTGTGGGTAGCTCACACTTATTAATAACTCCTGCCATTTTCTCCGTTGGGAGGGGGGAGGATGCCTACTGGTATCAAAATGAAAGGAATGGTAAATGACCCATCCCCATTTTCTCAGCCTGAATCACTGTTCTAAGCATGCATTCTTGGAAGGACGCAAGCCAGGAGCACTGACTCATGCAGTAACACACCAGACACCCTCCTCTGAGTACGAGTCATTTCACATGTCTCCACACCAGAAGTGTCTAAATGAACCACATCGCACCAGATGCAGAGATGCCACTAGTGTGTTTGGATGGAGATGTCCAGAGCAGCAACTCACACAGTGAAGCAATGGGCACCCTCCAATGAACGCAGATCATTTCACATATCTCTGCATGGAGAGTGATTGAATGATCGAATCCACCTGCAGGGAGGAGCTGTGACTCAGTGGCAGAGCCTCTGCTTGGCATGCAGAAGGGCTCAGGTTCAATCCCGAGCATCTCCAGTTGAAAGGATCAGTTAAGAAGTGATGTGAAGGATCTCTGCCTGAGACCCTGGAGAGCCGTTGCCAGTCTGAGTACATGGTACTGACTTTGACGGACCAAGAGTCTGATTCAGTATAAGGCAACTTCATGTTTTCACATGATGCAGAGAGGTTGATTGGAAACAAGCTTCGCCAGAACAATAAATCATGTGATGATACAAGAAGAGAAGAAGAAGAAGAGGAGATTGGATTTATACCCCGCCCTTCACTACCCAAAGGTGTCTCAGAGCTGCTCACAAACTCCTTTCCCTTCCCCTCCCCACAACAGACACCCCGTGAGGTAGGTGGGGCTGAGAGAGCTCTTGACAGAAACGGCTCTTTTTCAAGGACAGCTCTTATCAGAACTACGGCTTGCCCAAGGTCATCCAGCCAGGTGCAAGTGGAGGAGTGGGGAATCAAACCCGGTTCTCCCAGATTAGAGTCCGCGCACTTAACCACTACAACAGGAAGCCTCCTCAGGAGATGGGAAATTTGGTCTCATGGGAGCCTTTAATTACTGAATTACTGTATTTTCCATGGCACCCAGTTTGTGCACTGCGGACCCAGAAGAAAAGAGGAAATGTTTCTAGGGGGCCCTGGAAAGCCTCTACCCTCCTCTCACACCAACCAACACGGCAAACCGTAAGAAGGACAAGCCTAACCATTCCGCCAAGCCTTTCAGGAGCACCACCTCCTCCCACAACAGCCCTGCAAAGGCAACGGGATCGCCAGAGATCTGAATGAAGGGTTCCTATCCAGCCACCCATGACGATTAGGCAGAACCCGAACCCTGTCCCGGCGGCTTCTGGAATGCCAGGCAAAAATCCGAGACCAAGGAGGGCACTAAAAGGAAGCACAGTGCAGCACTGTGCAATGGCTAGAGTATCTGACTACAAGCAGGGAGGCCTGGGTTCCAATTCCCCACTCAGCGACGAAGCTCACTGACCCTGGACCGACCAGTCGTATTATCTCTGAGAACAGCCTACCTCACAGGGTGGTGGTTGTTAGGATAAATGGAGGAGGGGAGAAGGACACACTCTGCCCTGAGCTTTTTGGTAGAAGGGCAGGATAACAGTGCCCGTAGTTCTCCTGAAAGTGAAGGGAGGGGGCACCATCCAATTCAAAACAAACCGTCAGAGCAGATTTTTCCAGAGACTGAAGAGGCGGGGTTGGGTTTTTTTTGCTGAAGTGAGGAAGGAAAACCTTGGGCAGGAGGATTACTCATTCCCTGATTCCACTGCCAATTCTCATCTCTTCCTTGGACGCGCAAGTCTGTCTTTGGTCCCAAGGATTGGAGCGGGGCCCAGGTATCCACCCACCCACCCACTCTCCTTGAATGCCACCACATGTTCTGCTCTTCGACAACGTCCTACAAATTCGTCTTTTTAAATTGCAGGGTGGAAACAGCAAGAGGATGCAGAGCTTTGCAAAGGACAGAGGGACATTCCCGACTCCCTGCCCGGTGCCCACCCACCGTTCGCATCAATCTCTGTCGCTCGCTCCTGTCAGACTGGTCACGCTGACAGGGAACTGCAGGTACCGGCCAAGTTCCTGTTCAAGTTGACAGGTTTTCAAGGACACGGTGGGCCCTGATATTCTAACAGCCAGGCTGGACCAGAACACAAGCCCTTCTGGGTCGTTCCCAACAAAGGCAGCGATGATTTCAAAATCTCCCAACCCAGCTTTTTTGGACCCGAGAATCGCCATTTTGACTTTGCTTCTCCCTCATGCAAATCAAAGCTAGAAACCGTCAGTTATTTTTTTTCTTGTGAAACATAGGCATTTCTCAATGTTATCTGTGCAATCAACAGATCAGCGTTCTACATATATGTACAAGGAATGTACATGGTACGTAAAGTGCCATACGAATTTTGCTTATAAAACCATACAACAGCAGCACACAATACAACGTAATAAAAAAAGACAGCAAAAAGCAGAGAAACGAAACTGTGAATGAAATAAATAAATAAATATAAAACAAAACTAAATGAGCGATGTTAGCTCAACCCTGAACAAAGGCCAACTGGAGCATGAGGGCAACAGCCGTCTGATGTTTCAGCACAATGTTGGCTAACTGGAGGTACACTGCCTGTCTACATGGAAGTTCCATTGAACTCTCAGGACTCATTGCACTCAGTGGACTTCACTTCCATGGAAATGTGCCTGTTCCTTCCTTTAAAAAACCATTAAAAGGTCAGCTTGTACATTCGGGTGAATCAGGTGGCACATTTGCAACACTCCAGGCTGCAGGTAGAGGGGATTATATATGCGAAGGCTCACCTGTACTAGAAACTCCCTGCATGGAGAAAACTAGCATGTCTAGGAGCATGGCTCAGCCATTGTCATGCTATTTTTTCTAAGTGTCGGGAGATTTCCTTCATTCAGAAAAGCACACAAGTTTCCCTGCTTGCAATGTGAAGTGGTACAGCCCAGGAAACGCACCGTGTATATTAACAGTCCCAGAACTGGCAGCCTATTGCCATACCTTGTGGTAGTGAATCCCCATGCTAATCAATTTGGTTCAAGAAAATACAACAAAAAACCATTTTAAAAACCCAACAACAACGGGCAGTTGTGTACCCTGGAAACTAACTCCCCTTCTGGCACAGCTCAGAGAATGAAAGTTGGCCACCAGACAGCATCCCCCTAGGAGGCCTCGATGCACCTGGATCATTCCAGACTGTCTGTCTGCAAACAGGAGGCCACCTGCGGATGGGACCAAGGGACAGCCACAAGATTCCCGGAGATTTATAGACTTACCTTGGCTTTATTGATTGTACAATGGAGAGCGTTGTTTTCTTGGTCGTACAGTAAGCTGAAGTCCAGCGTCCCCAGGGCAGCTGGAAGAAATTAGAAAAAGAAGATGATTCAGGGAGAAGGTGGGAAGGGGATGATTTAGTTTGGTTTGTTCCCTTTCCATGTGAATCAGGTGGGTTAACGGTGGTGGGGAAAATCCTAACGAGGGATCCCAAAAAGGTATTCGGCATTATAAACACCAAGTGCTTTTAGTTTTGAACAGAGGTCGATTCGGGGGATCGCAGGAGATCGCCGTTCCCCCAGGTGAGGTGCGGGGAGGTGGGGCACACGACGAAGCCCCGCCCCCTGCTTCTGGCCACCCCGCTTCCGGCACTCATTCAGCCAGGAGGAGGCAGGAGAAGAGGGAGGGTAAGTTGCTTCCTCCCCGCCTCTCCCCACCCCTGCCTGTCTGGGGCCAGGGAGGGCCTTGGTGGGGCTTCCTCACACTCCCGCCAGCCTTGCAGGTCCACCGCCGGGCCTTATGACACACGTCCGGTGATGGCAGGGGGTGTGGCCTTATGACACACTCTTGGTGATGGCAGGGGGTGTGGCCTTATGACACACTTCCGGTGATGTCAGGGGGTGTGGCATATGCTAATGAGTTCCCCTAGCTCTTTTTCTACTCAACGACCCCTGGTTTTGAAAGGATATAAATATCCTGCTTTTCAGTACAAGATGAATCCTCAAAGTATGTTGTTGAACACTTTCACAGCCAGAGTTCATTAGTTGTTGTAGATTTTCCAGGCCATATGGTCGTAATCTTGGCATTGTAGGACCTGATGTTTCGCCAGCAGCTGTGACTGGCGTCCTCAGAGCTATAACACAGAAAGATGGAGTGGTGTTTGTGTCAAGGTGAGAAGAAAAATGGTAGGCAGGTAATTTATATGTACTCGGGAAGGTGGGGTAGTGCTGAGTCATTATCTTGTAGGAGTTTTCCGGGCTGTGACATACTAATGGAGGAGCTTTCCTGGCAGATTACACAGGGAAGCCATTGGAATTCATAAATATAAACACAATTTCAACAGGAAAGAAGAGAGTTTAAAAATAAATAGGGCATGGTTTCCAGTCCTGAGAAATACAAAATGCTCTACATCTTACAACAGCACTACAGATAAGATTAGAATTTCAACAGCCAATCCATATGCAAAAGAACCTCCTCAGGAAAGCCCCTCCATTAGCGTGTCACAGCCTGGGGAACTCCCACAAGATAATGACTCAGCCCTACCCCACCTTCCCGAGTAGGTATAAATTGCCTGCCTACCATTTTTCTTCTCGCCTTGACACAGAGAGTACTCCATCTTTCTGTGTTATACCTCTGAGGATGACAGTCACAGCTGCTGGCGAAATGTCAAGTCCTACAATGCCAAGACCACAGCCATACGGGCCGGAAAATCTACAACAACTAATCCTCAAAGTAGCTTTTTTTTTTTTACTGTCAAGTCACAGCTACTGTACAGAGACCCCAGAGAGTGTTCAAGTCTAGAAATGTTCAGAGGTAGTTTGCCGTCGCCTTCCTCTGCATTGCAACCCTGGGCTTCCTCGGTGGTCTCCCATCCAAGGACTAGCTATGGCCGACCCTGCTTAGCTTCCGAGATCTGACGAGACGGGGCTGGCCTGGGCTACAAAGCACCTTATCCGAAATTGATTGATTGATTTTAAAATAATTATATCTCACTTTTCTCTCTCTCTCTCTATGGGGCCTTAAAAACCACACCCACCCTCAAATACAGTTTATAAAAACATTCAAAAACATTCAGGAGAAACTAAGCAAACAGTAATCCAGGAACAAGGGGAAACGCTGGATGCATCAGCAGAGGGATGCTGACTGGCTTTTACAACAGAGGTGGCAAACAGAGTCTGCAGCCTTTAGGCCAAACCAGATCCTGTCTTGTGGCGCCATTTGGCCCTCTTGAGCCACTGGATTCCTGGGTGCTCCAACAACACATCCCACAGAGAAGAAACTTCTAAAGCAACCGGGAGTACAAAGAAGAAAGAGAAGCTACAGAAGGGAGGAAGAACAGTAGAGAAAGACACAAGGGGGACTTCCGGTCGATGGCGGCGCGTTAAGCAGACTCACCTTCTGGACTGCTCGGGGGTGAAGCTGTGTTCTGGCCAGAGGAGGGGGTGCGCAGGCTCACGAACCCCCCCCCAGGGACCCGGTGAAGGGGCCCTGGCCAAGGAACTTTTTAAGAGGTGGCGTTTTCGAGGGCGGAATGCCCGAGAATTGAGGTGCCTCTTAGTTCCAGTGGTTCCCCGTGCCATGAGACCCAGATGGGACTAGTGGCACTAACTGGAGCAAGCGTGGGAGATCCGGCGTTTGAAATGAAGTTTGGAGCGGAGTCGGAAGACCAACAATGAACCTGAGTCAATGCTAAGGCGATTTAAGAAGTAAAAGGTAGCTCCCCACCCTACTTCACGGGCGGAGAAAAAGCGAGCGGGGGGAGGGACGCCACCCATGTGCATACCTTAAACGAGTGAGGGGGGGAGCGGAAGAAAAGCGGAGAAAACTGCCGAGAGACACTAACCCGTGGGAGTTTAAGCGATCAAGTGCACATTCAGAGACTTTAGCAAAGTTGGGAAAAGTAAACTACTGATTAAGATGGTGGGGAAGAAGGACAAAGAAAGACTACTGAAAGCTAAGGGGCCGGGCAGTCCTAAACCGGAAGTTACCAGTGAGGTGGCGAAGTCCGTAGCAGAGTCTATACGCCCTCTGCTGGAACAGCTGAATAACTTCAAGGAACAGATGTCAAAGGTAACACAAAGCATAACGGCAACTCAAGCCCAGATGGGTGCAACTCAAACCCAGATGGGTGATCTGATACAAATTATGAAGCAAGATGCTGAAAAAATAAAGGAAGTGACTGCAACTACACAGAAAGTAAAGAAGAAAGTACAAAAGCTTGAGGAAAAGACAACTTCTTTGGAAGATCAAATGCTACAAGTCCAAATGGAAAAGGCCAGCTTGGTTCTTCGCTTCCAGGGCATGCCAGAAAAATCGGGGGAGAATCTTAAAGAAGAAATGAGTGAATTACTAGCTCCAAGGGCAGATATGAAAAAAGAATTGTTACTAAGCGAAATGGATGTGGTCTATAGATCATATTCAGGATATATAAAGAAGAATAATCTGCCTGGGGAAATTTTTGTAAGATTCTCGAAGAGGCATGTGAGGGATGCAATCCTGAAAGCGGTTTCTGGTGCTTCTCTGAAAGTGGGAGAAAGTATCATCAGAACACTGAAGGATATTCCATTTGAGGTGAGACAACGGAGAAAGAAATACAAAGAGTTGGTGGCTTTTCTTCAGACAAACGCAATTGGATATAAATGGTTGTTTCCAGAGGGGGTCACTTTCAAGGTCAAAGACAAAAAAGAAAAGATTGACTCTATCATAAAAGCTAAAAAATTCTTAAAAGATCAGCTGGGAAGATCAGAGGATGAAGAAAAAGAAGAGGACAGCAAGTCTAGTGGTGAGCTGGACTCTGGTTCTTCCGGAGAGGACTCTCTGGACAAGAAGGGGGCGGCTGCTCCAAAAAGCTCTTATAAGCTCCGAAAAAGACGATAAAAAGAGAACTAG